CTCCAACGTGTCGTCTCCAAATATCTACAAGGAAGTGAATTAGCCGAGAGCCTAGAGCAGATAGTGAACGAGATAGACAGTCAGCCTTAGTATTGAGACTGCATTAATTCCTCTATCGGCATTATTACGACGATCAAGTGCATAGCTAATACCCAAATTGGACAGACTTCGTCAAATACCCTCATTCTGCGCAGGAATAGACTTTGACATGGGATTCAACCGAATCCAGCTGAATCTTTCGTCTACGTTGTTCAGCCACTTCATTTTTCAGATTGTAGGATTTCGAGATACCGCAATAGGCTGTTGTCTAGATGAAGTCTTCAGCAACCTTATAATTAGTGTGTTGGTCTAGTCAAAGACGTAATGCGATATCTTGAATATCATGCCGACTGAAACATTAGGCGGCCTGGTGCAGCTTATTCAGTTGAAGCGGACCATCATGAACGACAGGAACAATCGACCTTGCTCTGTTAACTACTTGAAAACAAAGATGATTCGATTCCCCCGAAGGATCAGTTACATGGTACACCTTGCTTTTTACTAATATCTACTGGGGAGGTTTAAGTAGGGTGGGCCACGTGATCCTTCAGGTAACATTCACAAGCTGTCTGTCCAAGAAAGACACATCTGCTGGCGAATCGTAGCAGGCTGGTGATTTGATTTGAATGTTTGGTAATAACTAACCATTGAACTAGCCATGAAATTGGACTTTATATGAATTCCAAGACTGTACCGAACCAAACACTTACCCTCAGGAATCGATAATTACAAAGTCATGGGTTTGGAATATGGAAGAACGCGGGATCCCAAAGAGCTCAGCCAAACCGTGTTTTGCTATTAATGGGACTTATCATGAAGATTGTGTCAGCTTCAGACTGCACCTCAGTCTAATAACCTTCACAAGTCACCTACAAACAATTGTATAAGGAACTATTTTAAAATCTGCTACACTGGCAGACTGTTCTCAAATTTTAGCATCCGACAATGCTCCCAAATTACTACGTGCGGTTGCATGCGACCTCGATCACAATTTGTTATACTTCTACTAAACTACAGCTCCCGATAAAGAAGTTGGTTTCAGGAGCCTGGTAGGAGGGAACATAATAAAAGGCAAAGTTCACGATCACATATTCTCGCGAAAAGTTCCTAGATAATAATAGCAGACATAAGCAGTCGAATCAGAATACGTCTACCTCACTCACTCCACAAGTACCTGTGATACAGGGCAGCTACTGCTGCCCAAGGGCGTTGGCTAGGCTCACATATGTGCGTACAAAAATATCACGCATTCTACAAACCAGGTGAGATTGGTGGCAATGACCGTGAACAATTCGAATCTTCCCGCTAACGGTAGACGGAACTCCAGGACTCAAATCACACTTTAATTTGTCAAACTGTATCTCCGCGCACTTCACACTGGTCCTTTGCGCCAATGGGTCGGACGAGTTAAACCCTTGTACCACAACAACCACCAAAAGAGCTCACCACTGTCGGTCATTCGTTGACCTGGTCCAGTTGGTAATGGCTTAAATCACTAGCTCTCAATCTGAGGAAATTTCCAAAGTTCGGATGGAACATAGGCTTAGAAGGATAGGAACACAAGAACCTAGAAGGATACTAGGTTTCTGCTCGATTCACTGAATGGCATTCGCCCAGTTGTCTGCTGTCTATTGTTGATTGCAGATTAAGGTCAGGGCATTTGCTTGACACTGTGTGACGCATTTTATACCGTTCTGAGCTTAACAGCGAAGTTCTTCACATGTAAAAGGGTAACGTATCTAAAAACAACGGGTTGCGCTCTGTTCGCATGTTAGATGAGTACTATTTTTCTTGGAAGAACCCTAATTTATAAGCTTGCTGAAAATCACAAACGAGGAATTCAGCCAAAATGCAGCCGAGTCTCCCATTAAGACCAAACTGACCTGCAGATGAGTGCATTTCATGCACCATTTGTTTTCACTATACCCGTCACAGGATCATTCAAAAGTCCGAAACGCCTAAAGAGCACAACAACCCCCATATAATCGTCACGTCACAAGGATAGACTTATTGATGGCACAGAGAATCTCTGGATGACGGTACAGCGTAGGGGGACCAGTGGCTGCTGTGGAAAACTGGCCTGAATTGGGTGTACAACGACAGGCTGCCCGGTGAGTTTAGAGCACGACAGAAATGGTGACCATACCACCATACTATCAACGTGTTCACTGGACGCATGGTTTGTACGCTATGTTGTGGTCCTTTGCGATTTCGCCCCAGATTGGACTCTAAAGTATCAATCCATCTTGTTAAGTTCCTTTCCCCGCATGATGCAGTGAAGGCCATCAACAGTCTGGTTCTCGAGTACCTGGTACCAAATGGTCCTCAGGTAAACTATTCAAATGCACTTTATGTACTTTACTCGGCTCGCAAACATCATTCTAATAAACTCCATACATGAACTTTGGTAACAACCGAAGCCTCGAAATTCGAATTTTCAAACCGAAGTCGTGTAAGCGGACGTAAAACTCCACTTGTATTTTCTAGCCTTGTCAAAAAAGAAAATAAACAGTCATCCACCTGCTGTCTGGTGGCTACTCAATGGTGTGCTTGATTTCCCATGCTGCAACCTATTTTCGGCTTTTGCTGTGCGTTTGTCGACTGATATTTTTGCTATCAATTTGGCCCAAGCCGAATTCTTTTTCTCACCACTGTCCATGGTGATTGAACCCATGGTCGGCTCATATATTTGTGAATACGAACAAAAAAGTACTCTCCTGAGATTTCCCGAAAAAACCTCTTCACACTGTTTTTCATTGTCAATAGTTGTTCCCTAAAACACTAACAGCCACACGGTGCGAAACAAATCGATAATCGTCTATCCAATCTCTTGTGATTAACATCAAGAGCCAACCGTCTCACTTGCGCTCTGTTCGCATGTTAGATGAGTACTATTTTTCTTGGAAGAACCCTAATTTATAAGCTTGCTGAAAATCACAAACGAGGAATTCAGCCAAAATGCAGCCGAGTCTCCCATTAAGACCAAACTGACCTGCAGATGAGTGCATTTCATGCACCATTTGTTTTCACTATACCCGTCACAGGATCATTCAAAAGTCCGAAACGCCTAAAGAGCACAACAACCCCCATATAATCGTCACGTCACAAGGATAGACTTATTGATGGCACAGAGAATCTCTGGATGACGGTACAGCGTAGGGGGACCAGTGGCTGCTGTGGAAAACTGGCCTGAATTGGGTGTACAACGACAGGCTGCCCGGTGAGTTTAGAGCACGACAGAAATGGTGACCATACCACCATACTATCAACGTGTTCACTGGACGCATGGTTTGTACGCTATGTTGTGGTCCTTTGCGATTTCGCCCCAGATTGGACTCTAAAGTATCAATCCATCTTGTTAAGTTCCTTTCCCCGCATGATGCAATGAAGGCCATCAACAGTCTGGTTCTCGAGTACCTGGTACCAAATGGTCCTCAGGTAAACTATTCAAATGCACTTTATGTACTTTACTCGGCTCGCAAACATCATTCTAATAAACTCCATACATGAACTTTGGTAACAACCGAAGCCTCGAAATTCGAATTTTCAAACCGAAGTCGTGTAAGCGGACGTAAAACTCCACTTGTATTTTCTAGCCTTGTCAAAAAAGAAAATAAACAGTCATCCACCTGCTGTCTGGTGGCTACTCAATGGTGTGCTTGATTTCCCATGCTGCAACCTATTTTCGGCTTTTGCTGTGCGTTTGTCGACTGATATTTTTGCTATCAATTTGGCCCAAGCCGAATTCTTTTTCTCACCACTGTCCATGGTGATTGAACCCATGGTCGGCTCATATATTTGTGAATACGAACAAAAAAGTACTCTCCTGAGATTTCCCGAAAAAACCTCTTCACACTGTTTTTCATTGTCAATAGTTGTTCCCTAAAACACTAACAGCCACACGGTGCGAAACAAATCGATAATCGTCTATCCAATCTCTTGTGATTAACATCAAGAGCCAACCGTCTCACTATCGACACTTCAATCGCTGAAGCAACAACCCAAAACGGTATGATGTCACAGTCGGTGGCTTGTTCATTACAACCAAGCCAGTGTTTTCGAATTCAAATCCTCTAACTCAGCATTTTTTAACACCGGTCCCAACGGCAACTTAGTTCGACTCCATATATTGTAGTTAGCTTCACCAAATTACGTTAGCTTGGTCCCGCCTATACTAGTTCGCAGTATTTTCCTGCAGCGTCTTGATCAGTAACAGCACGAGACGTCCGGATCAGTCTTTTGTATTGTGAAAAACCACGGTCGTTCACTCTACGATCACTTGGTATATTGCGTCTTATGAATGCCTTGAGCATCGGCGCAGAATGATTTCACATCTGTTGACCGACGGCAGTTAGTTTGAGTTTACTCACAATAAAGATTTAAGACTTGGGAAATTCGTTCGCTCCTTGAAGGGGTTTACTTTTGAGGGCACACAAAACAGTGGGCTACAGCATATGAGTATGCTAGTCTAGGGGGGCGAGATGGCTGGCCGGAAGGTCCGACATCTGCATCTCGACTTCTATTTATGCTTGGGCAACCTAGCAGTATATCAGCCCTCGTGCTTCCTTCGGGTAGCATGGCAGCTAGGCATCGAAAAAAATATTAGAGCTGAACCATTATAATTACTAGTTATGCAAGTCTAGAAAACGAATGAAGGCAATACTCGCAAATTACTTGGCACTCAAGAAATAAAAAGGACCAAGTATGTTTTCATAATGTGTAATTAATGCATGGTGCAAGAGTACAATTGCTCAAACAAGCCAGCAAGAAACTAACACAATGTGACATAACCAAGGTGCAATGAGATGGGCAGTATGAAGAATCATGCAACTTTCACAATATTAGATGGAAAACAAACAATGGACAACCAAGTGAAGTACGAAGGAAAGTAAAATATAAAGGATTGTAAAAGGTACAATAAACAACAGAATACAGAGAAACACGGAGATCGCTGGTCGAATTTAACCACCGAAACCATAAAGAGTACGACCCTGGCGTTTGAGAGCATAGACAACATCCATAGCAGTGACAGTCTTGCGTTTCGCGTGCTCCGTATAGGTCACGGCATCACGTATAACATTTTCCAAAAACACTTTTAAAACGCCCCGCGTCTCCTCATAAATCAGCCCAGAGATACGCTTAACTCCACCACGTCTAGCCAGTCGTCGGATAGCAGGTTTGGTGATACCTTGTATGTTGTCACGCAGCACTTTCCTGTGGCGTTTTGCTCCGCCTTTTCCAAGACCCTTACCTCCTTTGCCACGGCCAGACATTCTTGGTTATTGCAGATTCAAAGAGATGGTACTTAGTGGTGCGACACCAGCTATAAAATATAGAATGGAAAGCAAATTGTAATTAGTCGCTGGGATGCACGAAGTTGCGGAAGTTTGAGCCGAAAGAGTCACCAGGCTGAGTTCGGATGCAATAAGCGTGATAATTAAGCCCAGAATAAGTTAAGCGCGGGTAAAGTTGTGACAGCACATGTTTGGATCGAGAATAAGCGGTGTATGTGGAGGCATCAGTTTTACTGTGGTAAGCAGATTATCACGCATTCTTAGCCCTGGCCCAAAAAGCAAAACAAGAGCTGTATCGACACTGATACAGGGAGATTCCCGGATCTGAATGTGGCTACAATCCACGCTCCAACGCTGTACATAGACCCTGAAGCCAAACAGCATCTTTACTACCTACAGGCGAACTTTCGCTGGGCAGTTCCGTAAAAAAATTTTCAAACAATTATTTGCAACCGAAAATTAAATGTCCGCGTTGGACTCCTTTACTCAGCCGCTCATACGTCTCATACTGGAATCAGAGTTCTACGAACCTGGCCACATTGTGTGCGGTTAAAACCCGTTTTCAGCGTCCACTAAACAATGAAAACCACAGAATGCAAAAAAGCGCATTCCAACCAGGACAATATGTGGACCGTCTCCGGACGATCGTTGGCATTTTAGAGAAGAGGATCCGGCCATCCTAGAGGTTAGAGTAATACCAGTCCGCCTAACGTCACGTCACAACCCGTCACAAACTATATCCATCACGAAGGCTTTAACGTGACTGCCATTGATTGACTGAACGGGCTGCCTAAACTTCCATCAATAGCTAGAAACTGCTTTGAAGGAATACGGAGGAAACATGATTAACAACCTGGATGAGGATCAGGAGTGATATATTCTCGATGAGTCTGGGTGTCACATGGCGACGCAAAAGTGCGGATCTCTGTAGAAAACAATGGAATCACAAGTTCCGCTGAGAATGTCGGACCGGAAGATACAGTTTAAGATCTTCCCGGCTCATCCACTTTGCAGGGGAAGTCATCGCTGACTTGCTAGCGTTTCTTCCGAATGAGATCCTCCTCAAGTAAAGTCCTGTCACGAAGAGACTGGACCTTACCGTGATGTGACGGTTTGCGCACCTCAGCGACCCACTGAGCTATACTGGAGGTGTCCCCGCGACACTCAGTCATACCAGAATGGTTGATGGTCAGAGATCTGATGAACACAGCCTCCTGGTCCTCCAAGTTGGGAGTTGGAACCTGTGGCAACTTGTTCCGTAGGAATGTTAATGCACTTGCATTTCCTGCCGAATACCGCTCCCTTGCGGTTAGGCTTTTGAGACAAATGTTTTGGTTGAAGACCCTAGTCATCCTCCTGTCCACCTATGGGCGGCCTGACAGTATCCCAGCCTATGTACAACCAGGACACTCCTCCGGTACAGAAAAGAAAATTTTCGTATCCGTAACGAAGCAGTTAGAAAGCGAGTTTTCGGTTGTGCAACGGGTGTTTCCATTGAAAATGTGTCCAGCACCAGAAGCTGCGTTAGTTGGGACATGTGTTGCGTATACCTGACTATCGTTTGCTGAAGAGAGTGCTGTTTTCTATGCCAAATTCAGAATGGCGGAAGCATAGATGTTGGCCAACCCTTGACTTGGTAGAGGGGTATGAAGGAGATTACAAACACTTGGGTGTTGTCGGTGCTACTCGTCTTCCAAAAGGGGTACCACGTGATCCTCACTGAGCCTGGTTGAGGAGATTCTGCAGGATATGACTGCCCATCGATGTCAGTGGCGATCATGTCGTCAGTTTCTATCCAGATTGCCTGAATGAGTGTTTGGAGGTGTGGGCACCTAGGAAGGATTGTAGTAAGCTAGAACTAAGTCTCTTCCTTGTCCATGTTTATTCCTTTCTCACAATAAAGCTTTCAAATACATCATGGCTGTACGGCAGCGAAGCATCGGTGTTGAACAGTGATGTCATTCTGCCGACGATGATGATGGTGACGCAAGTAACTAGGGTGGGTACCACACGGAAAGAGGTTAGGATGATGACAGGAAGAAACCGCTCAGTTGAAGCACCTTTTCGGTGCACAGCTGCCGTACAACCTGAAGGAAGCATGCGATCTGTAATACCCCAAGTTGCCCATGCATAGGCAAGAGTAGTCGGACAGCTAGGGGTGGGGTCGAACCACGGACCACCCGCTCAGCAGTTTCGCACATTAACCGCTGAGCTGTCCCAAGGAAGAATAGTGCTGATCAAATATTCATATCAAGAAGACCGTCTCAGACTCGGATAACCTGGCATTATCCTACCCCTGGCGCCTCTTTCGGGTAGCATGACAGTTAGGCACCGAGATAGTGTTACAATTGCTCAATCGAAGCAGCCATCGTACCTGCCGTTGTGGTCAGAAAGATCGGTGGTGTGCGCAATTTTAAGCTCAGCGCGGGTCTAAACCTCCAGCTAATCAACAAGGATGGTCTAATCGTGCAGCTTTAACACCCTTTTGGTGCCTAACAGCCTTACCACCCGAAGGAAGAACGATGACAGGGATACTGCCAGGTTGTCCAAGCCTAGAGAGAGGAAGTCAAGAGGCAGAGGTCGGGTTGGAACCACCGACCTTCCGGTCAGTAAATTCGCGCTCCAACCACTCAAGCCATCAGGTTCAAAGAAAAAATAGGATCTACAACGATTGTGCGCAAATCATCAATCGAAAAATGTCGTGGGACAGCAAGACCTTGAGAGCTGAGGATTGTCACATTTTGTGACCATCAGTATCTGAGATGGATGAACGGTGTTTCTTGGTACGATTGTCTACTCCACCAAATGGTGGTAGACTTGTACAACATAGAAAAGTTGGGATAGTCTCCTTCTTCCAGACAGAGGTAAATACGTTAAGCGAGCACTGACTGAGGATTCCACCTTCATCTTTCAACAGAGTAGGCGGTAGTTTGTCAGGGGCCAGCAGCTCGGTGACGCTTGAGGGGTAAACGACATACGCTTACTCCCGAAGACATCGGAGGTTCCGAACCGCTGCTATCAATGATTGTTTCGCTCATCGGGCCCGTTGCGCATGTCAGCTGAGGCAGTTTGCATACATTCCCACAGTTTCTTGCCTGACCCTCTTTAGCTTTCTGGATCCACTAAGCTTTTTGATCCGCGCAGATGCCCGAAACCGAAGGGAAGATCACTTAAATGACGGTAATTGAGTCCTGTTTACAGACAGACATCAGTGGAAAGTGACTCCAGTGTATATCCAAGAAGTCTACGTATCAATGACTCACGATACGTAGTAATACAGCTTTAGCGTGTATGTTTGACGTAACGGCCATTCGGCAACCTTTGTCGTGAATGTACAAGGAAGAGAAGAACTGGCTTCTTCTCCAGGAACGACCTCTCCTCGGAGTGATCACGCATTCAGTCGTGGCTGATGAGAGGCAGTTTTGGACTGTCCAGTGTAATGTCAGTATATGTTAAACATGTACGGTACAAGCGCAGGTAGGGTAGGAGGAAGCCTATTCAGGATGTCCAAAAATTTCCAAACCAATAGGCAAGCTCAATGAAATTGTCCGCTTCGGAATCTGCAGGGAATTAGCGTTTCTTTCGAGAGGCTTCTTTAATGGGAGCACCACTTTGTAGCTAAAGCTGGTTCGTAACACGGTAACCTCAACGAAGAAACACTTTTGAGGACTATGAAACTTTCTCTTCGGGATGGCTTTTCTTTGGATGGACGACTCATATGAAGCAACTTCTGTGTTCTACGAGAATCCAGTTGGTTGGGAGTGTTTGGAGTGGTTTATTGAGCTCATCACGGACCTTCTCACACTCCGGAACCAGGAGCGAAACATTTACCTTTCTGTCGCCGAATGAATGTAACACGTTGTCTGTCCCACCGACTGCCCAGTCGACTCGTTATATATTGCGTGTTTCATGAATTTCATTGCTGGTCGCGTCGTGCTCGAGCAGTGCAAGGCACGGTTATGTGTTCTTCTTCAATGTAGTTGAACTGTGGAGTTCAGAGCGTAATGGGAAAGCAACCCTGACCTACGGCTCATCCGACGCCTATTGCCGACAACACTAGATCAGAGCGCAGTATTTTCGTGAACAAACTAACCTGGCTTTCTTTCCTGTCAGTCATTCTTACTTCTGATGAGTCATTAATTTGTGATGTTTGGGGACTTTCCAAGCTATACGGATCCCATGCTTCTTAGTTGAACTTTGTTCATCCATTTTCGTCGCCGGAACGGACTTTGTTCGATCATGAACTGGTAGATGTGGACCATGAAATCGATCCGCGTTTACCTTCCAGTCGTGCTATCACTCATCACTAAATGGTGTAATTTATGGCTGATATTCTGAGGTTTTCATTGGAAAGTCGCAACATTGGTTACTTTGTCTTATAAAGAGGATACGAATTTCCTGGATTTTCTAGGTTACGCTGTATGCTAAATCTGTTGTTTGCACTTTGCTCGGCTGTCCTGACTATCAGATTTCACCATTATCATTGTCAGCTGTAATAACCGCGTACTTGTCGTGCAGTGGTTGTAGCCGCCACAGTTTCGTTTACCGATGATTCGGGGAGGTGGGGNAGGAAGAACGATGACAGGGATACTGCCAGGTTGTCCAAGCCTAGAGAGAGGAAGTCAAGAGGCAGAGGTCGGGTTGGAACCACGGACCTTCCGGTCAGTAAATTCGCGCTCCAACCACTCAAGCCATCAGGTTCAAAGAAAAAATAGGATCTACAACGATTGTGCGCAAATCGTCAATCGAAAAATGTCGTGGGACAGCAAGACCTTGAGAGCTGAGGATTGTCACATTTTGTGACCATCAGTATCTGAGATGGATGAACGGTGTTTCTTGGTACGATTGTCTACTCCACCAAATGGTGGTAGACTTGTACAACATAGAAAAGCTGGGATAGTCTCCTTCTTCCAGACAGAGGTAAATACGTTAAGCGAGCACTGACTGAGGATTCCACCTTCATCTTTCAACAGAGTAGA